ACAATTGGCATCAATCAATCAAAAGACAGCAAACTTTGGCTTCTGAACTGTTCACCTGTAAGTTTAAGGTGGTCTGGGACAAATGCTCTGTTGATAGGGCTATAAAGATTAACACAACCAGATGAGGCTACTGGGAACAAATTCTCTGGGGTGAGTGAGTTGGGTTTTACACCGCTTTTAGCAATATTCCAGCAATATCACGGCAGGGGACACCAGAAATGGGCTGCACACATTGTACCCTTGCGGGGAATTGAACCCGGTCTTCGACGTGACGAGCGAACGCTTTAACTTTTGACCATTAGGCTAACCCACGCCCCAATTCTCTGGGGATATATATTCATAATTTTGTGTCTTCTAAGATGTGACCTATTGTGTGTGATTTTTGGTTGCATATCTTCAAATTGGCCATAGACTGACTGATAACAATATTACATTAGATAGAGATATTATGTTCAACATTTAATCATGTACAACAGTCTGATTTGCACTGCAAATATACAACCACAGACATATTCAAACAAGAAGACAAAGTCATCAATATCCCCCGCAATGGCAAAATACTCTTCATGATTATGTCTACGAGTTATGATTATGTCAAATATTTAGGTGTGTACATAGAAAAGTGGAAGGAGAGTATTGAAAGGGTTTAAAAGTTCTGCTCCAGAAAGGAGCACTATCACCAATTTCAGTCTAAGTCAAACTTGTTGCCATGGAAATGCCAAAAATATTTTATTCAGAATTCCAAAACTACCAAAAGGCACCAGTACACCACCAGATCTATCTATGTGCCAAGTTTGGTGAAGACATATTGAACGGTTTTAGAGTTCAGCTCCGGAAAAGAGCACTACCACCAATTTCAGTCTAAGTCAAACTTGTTGCCATGGAAACGCCAAAAATATTTAATTCAGAATTCCAAAACTACCAAAAGGCACCAGTACACCACCAGATCCATGTATGTGATAAGTTTGGTGAAGAAATATTGAACGGTTTTAGAGTTCTGCTCCGGAAAAGACAAATGTGCACAGACAGAGTCCATTTTAATACCCCCCGCAAAACGCGTTGCTGGGGATAACAAGAGTCATCAGAAGATGACATATTCCCCCCCCCACACACACACACATATTTGAAAGAACAAATCATCTGACAGTTACTTAAGTCCAGCTTGACTTTTTTTTAAACTAAGTGCAAATCGTCTCCATGGAAATCATGAGAAATATAAATGCCAAAAATCTGTAAATAGCAAAAGGCACCATTTCAAAATTTGCCTAATATATCTGCCAAGTTCTGTTGAAAGATGCTGAATGCTTTTCGAGTTGTGCACTGGAAATGAAGCCCACCCCTTCCTTTTGGGACTAAGTCCGAATCGTTTCCATGAAAACCGGGAATAATAAATATGCCAAACATCTGCCAAATAGCAAGAGGCACCACTTCACCATTTCAAAATTTGCCTCACATATATGCCAAGTTTTGCTGAAAGATATTAAGACGTTTTCCAGTTGTGCTCCGGAACGAAATCCACCCCTCCCTTTTGAGACTCAGTCCGAATCGTTTCCATGGAAACCGAGAAAATAATAAATCACAAAAAACTGCAAATAGCAAAAGGCACTATTTTGGGATCTGCCTCACATATCTGCCAAGTTTTGCAGAAAGATATTAAGAAGTTTTCCAGATGTGCTCCAGAAACGAAACCCACCCCTCCCTTTTGGGACTAAGTCCGAATCGTTTCAAATGCAAAAAATCTGTAAATAGCAAAAGGCACCACCTAAGGATCTGTTTGATATATATACCAAGTTTTGTTGACAAATATTTAACGGTTTTTGAGTTATGCTCCGGAAACGAAGCCCACCCCCCTTTAAGACTAAGTCCAAAACGTTTCCATGGAAACCGAGAAAAATAAAAATTACAAAAATCTGTAAATAGCAAAAGGCACCACCTTAGGTTCTGTTTGACATATCTACCAATTTTTGTTGAAAAATATTGAACAGTTTTTGAGTTATGCTCTGGAAACAAAATGATTACGGACGGACGGACGAGGCGTCGACTATATCCCCCCCATTACATGCTGGGGGGATAAAAAGGAAAACAAATTGAGATAATAGTGAGTGAGTAGGTGAGTGAGTGAGCGATTGAGTAAAGTTTTACGCTGCACTCAGCAATATTCCAGCTATATGGAGGCAGTCTGTACATAATTGAGTCTGGACCAGACAATCCTGTGATCATCAGCACAAGCATCGATCTACGCAACTGGGATACGATGACATGTGTCAACCAAGTCTGTTCAAGGGTGACAATCAGGCTTCCCTACATGGAAATCATCTAATTTTACATAAACAGTCATACAAGGAAAAGAGCATGGGTCACCTTGTTTCAGTCTGAATGTTCAATCACTATCAAGAACAAGTTGACCGAACACATCATTCCCCTGCCATATTTCATTCAGGAGGCAGGGAAATAACCTCAACACACATCAAAAGCAATATATTCTAAATAAGGACAGACTTCAGTTTTTCTTGTCATGAACATGCTGTTTCTGTTTAACAATTCATAAAGGAGTTCATTTTCAGTTAATCAAAATTGAAAGTTGAGCTTAACCTTTAGATGAAATTGATGAGATGGGGTATAATACAAACTCACAACAGGGGATACCAAACACAACTCGTAAATCATTAGTCAGGATCCCTGTATTTCTTGGTCAACAGTTATTTCTGAAAAAGAACCCTGATCAGTAGGAAAATTAGTAAACCAAAAAAAGAAAAAAACCACCAAAACAAATCTGATTTTCTGCTTGTTCTTCAAACAGTAACTTGAATATGTTAAAATATGACCAGTGTGTTAGTGTATGTGGATTCATTGGTCTTACAGAGTACATTTTGAGTGCACAGTATTCTGTGCTAAACTGAGTTCTTAATGGACATTAATAATGGACGTTAGGACAGCATACTCTACAGATTCTATTTTCCTCAACTTTTCAATATTTCAGAGTCCACAACACTTGAAAATCTGTTTGGTATCTAAAAAGTCAGTCATATATCAAATACATTCATACAAGGGTGCTTCCATGTCAACATAATCAGTCACATGTAGTTGGATTAGATTACAAATTGATTTCTTGCAGTTGCATAAATAATAACCTATTGTGCAACTAGTAATCACCAGTGTGAAGGAACCCCAGGTCATGTAAGCTTAGCCGATACAAGTTCTAAGTTCTTATATTACTGCCTAAATTCACTGTAACGGGAACATGAGGGAATCAAAGCATTTCACTGTTTACAGAACTATGTCATATAATCATTTCAGCTTCCTCCCGCCCCAAAATACAATCCTGCTAAAAGTGTAATGTTGTATCCAGAAAACATCCTGTCGAACTCATTTGTGAGTTCTGGTACACAACTGTTGACAAATAATATTTTCAATAATATTTAGAGTACTGTAAATCAATAAAATAATGCGAGCTACTTATGAATGCAAAAAAATGCGACTATATCTGAAGCGCATTAATAAATCTTGCATTATTATATTGTCTTTTGCACTCGATATCGTTATTACTAGTATTTGGGTCACGATAACCCAGTGAACAAAGACGAATGATTGATTCACAAAAATTCCTTTATTGACACAATAACATAGACATTATATTATATCAACAAGTAAAAGACATTCTGGAGTAGAAAAATTGAGCACTAATCATTTAAGTTGTATTACAGTCTTTGAATAAACAGTCTAGTTTACATGGTTTGAACTCACTGGACCACGTCCAGCAGACATGCCAACTGCCATCCACGTAATATTACCTCACGATTTCTACCTACCTTTTTAATTGCATCCAGCGAGCATGAACAGGTTTCGTGACGCTAATCCTCAAATCAACAGGTTTGTCATCGTCTTTTGTGTTGAGATTACAAACTGAGATCATCCTGTCTACTGTCAATTACTAGTACTAACAGTTGAAAGGAAAGCCGTCTTTGATCCAAACGCCCATGTGTTCGGGAAATTAAGATGTTTACACTAGAGTCGGATTAAATACTAGTATAGTTTTTCCCAAAGTTGTGAGTGTAGTCATTAGTGAGTATAGTCATTCTGGTCAACCATTTCCTGATTTGCCTCCTCGCATTAATAAATGCAAGCATTTTCGTTTTGAGGTTTGCACTCGCATTATTTAATACACGCATTAGTTTGTTGATTTACAGTACTTGATGTATGTGGTTTAAGTATAAAGGTTGAATAAATACTTCCACAACAGTATTTGATGTATACCCTGAGGTTGTTATTTCCAGTGGAGAGCTATGTAAAGCAGCTCAGTATACAGATACAAAGTTACAGGTAGGTTCCAACCATGCTTACATCAATGGATGACATACTGAGAATTTATTACAGGGATGCAAATCACTTTCAAAAATTACAATCGTTTTTTTCTATCAGACGAATGGTCCCTTGGTGACTAAACCTGTTAAAAATTAGATTTTAGCAATATTCCAGCAATATCACGGCAGGGGACCTGTTAAAATTTAAGCCAGGAGGGGGTCCTTGCCATAAGCCTATTATTAAAGGTAATATAATGAGTTGTTGATTGATTCAACTGACCCAACACCCACTCCACACAGCTCTCACCATTTATTTTGAACAGTACCTGATCATGGTTATTTACACAAAATATCTAAAATGCCTGACATCATATATTTTTTTAATTTCCTACTGTTTTGCAACATATGCCATGAACCTTGTTCACCTACTTACTTCAGTGTTACATAAAAAGATCAAACTTTAGCATGTTAAGAATCCTTATTAGAGCTAATAGAGAAATTGAATGTGACATATTTCATTACAAAATGGTAATTAAAGATGAATTTCCCAACAATTACCTCTAAGATGACAATCAAACTGTAGTTCACATAACACAATGGGACATTGTCCGTACTGAGTTTATGTCACTGGAATTCATGTAATCATTAATACAAAAATATTTCCAAACATTTATTTCATTAAATGAAATTGTATCTTACCACTTCAGTTGAAGACTTCTTCAACTTTGACCTGTCAATCTTCATCTTGACATCAATAACATGGATAACTGCAAAGAGAGGAACAATATTCATCATACTGTACAATGTAAGTCTGATCACTGCTGTTGTCTCTGTACGATAATCTGGATGTCCTGAAGGCTGTCTAAAGAGGATAAGGTATTACAGTGAGTGTGACTTTACCTATTGCACAGCAAAAGTAAGAATATTTGCTTATGCTATCCACCACCTGTCCATGGTGGATATTGTTGTTCGAACTGGATCAGTTGTCTTCTACTGCAATAGTGAGTGATTTAATAACGGCACATTGGCAATATTTCAGCCATACCATGATAATCCACTGATATATGAGAAATATCAGTGCCTTGTAAATAGCAGAATTCTAGGTCACCATTGGTTGATCGGTAATGACCTATGTAGCTGGGGCAAGACAAGATGCCATCAGCATCTCACAATGTGACCACTTCATCTTCATGTTATTCAACCTCTTTTGACAAGCATGTGATTTCAGTCCTCTATATGGACCCAGAACCTCTATGGGTCATGGAATTTGCTAAGGATAAAAGTCAAAGGACATTTTAAAATAATATTAAAAACCTTTAGATAACACATCCTTTTTGACGTTTAAAAATTAGAGAAGTTTCTTTAGGACATTTTGGATATAATTCTGACAGTCAATGCCTTAACCTAGAAAATGAACCAATCTAGCAGAAAAGAATCATACAATACCAGCATGTTTTTCCAAGAGGACTATGAAATGATTTAAAACCATTCAAATTTATTGCACTCATACAGTTGTCTGTCTTGACTAAAGCTAATTTTATGTTTCCATGTTTATCATTGTTTCTATACAATAACGCAATTTAACATGGATACACAACTTTATTACCCACGTGGTCAACGTATGGGTAGTTGCACACTAATCTTGTACGTCACACGAGTGTCGTATCGCGTTGACCTGAGTCGTAACGACTTGACCTGAGATTCTAACGATTTGATTGGATAACCGATGACCTCTCAATTAGGTCATGTTGTGACGGAACTACTTTTTCATTCATAACAAACACGTGAGTTCATTCATTCTACTACAACTTAAATGCATTGTGGGAATGTAAACATTGCGAACGTTACCGTATCGCTGTTTAATTGGGAGTCGAACTGAGACATTATATGCGTCAAAAAACATAAACGCAGAGTTTCCACCAGTGATATTAGCCAAGTGAAGCAACTGCAAACTATGAAACGGGGTGCCACGGAGTAGTTTAATGCAGGAGGCTGTATGAGGCGATGACAACTGACATGCATCGTGACGTCGGTTACCAAGGGGGCAGACGAGCAAGGCGTAGTGAAGTCATTACAGTGTGACGTCATGCAAAAAGTGTACTACAGAACAACATTCTTCTGCAACCTCTTTATGAAACCGGTTTCGGTTTGAAACCATAAAAATAACATAAATACGCTATTTTGTCAATTAAAGCATGTAAGACGTGGGTAATAAATAAAATACTACACGAGGTCTCATAACATACAAATTATCACGAAACTGACCTTCCTATGGTTTCTGACCTGCGCTTTCGCTTTTCGGTCAGATACCATAGGAAGGACACGAGTTTCGTATAATTTGTATGTTATTCGCGAGGTCAGAAACCATAGGAAGGTCACGAGTTTCGTATAATTCATATGTTATGAGACCTCGTGTAGTATTCTCTATCTAGTATACCAAATCTAAGCTGACCAGTCCCTGTTTCAATGCCTTAATCACATTAATGCTAAATGTCAGTTGGGGTTAAAGTTCAAATTTTTTTGTACACTGCCATGGGTTCAAACCAGCAACATTCCACTCTCTGGGAAGATGTTCTAATCTATACACAAGACCACAGTGAGTTGAATGAATATGAGGCCAAATTGGTTACTAATGACACTAATACTTTGTAAATCGGCTACGAAATGGAATTTGGGCCACAGTGAGACGATGTGAAACTCAGCAAAGCATTGTCGTCATAGTCAAATTCTTGAAATTATAAAGAGCTGAGACTACTAAAAAAGTTCTGGGTTAAATGTTTTTGAGAGTCAGGCAAACAAATGGTTGATAACATGAGTAATAATTCAATTTGATTCTAAGGGCACACAATCAACAATGGTCACTGTATTCACAGAGATCAAGAACATCATCCATATTTTAACCATATGATTACAAGTCACAGGTTTGCCTGGCTCAGAAACAAACATTTATAATCAACTGCGATACAGTTTCATTCACAAGTCAGTCTGACCATGTGTACAATTTTCCTCTTGGGTTTGGAAATAAAAGAACCAATCATGCAAAATTACTTGTGTTTTTGACAAGATACTGAAATCTGAAAATTGTTATGTACCCAGACAAGTATATGAACTAGGACTGCAACGAATACACTATGAGGCAGATCTGACGTGTTTTCAGAATGTATGGTAACAATTACAAATATTTATTGATGAATAATTCATGTTAAATATAAAAAAAATTAACAAACATGCCATTTAATTGTTTAAGTTGAACCATTTAAATGATATTTCTAAAAGCTAAAAGAGGCAAGCAAAGCCTAACAACAGTGTTGTAAAGGGTCTTGGCAATATTTTGCCAATATTCCATTATGCATATGTCATGTAGATAAACAAACTAGTCCAAAGAAAAAACACTGTCTTAAAAATATTCATAAATAATTGATCTTAGTAACCATGAACGATGAATTGAATTCATGAAGGGGCACATTTCGATTCACCGAATATTCAAGTGAATTGGAACAGAACTAATATGGACATAATGTACTTTCTTTTAACAACTGCCACAATGGTACCATTTAGTTTCCTTTGCTTCCATTCCATTAATGAATATACATCATTGGTGGCATGATAATCAGTGATAATGAATAGACTTTTCAGTGAAATTCTTTACAGATCAAAAGAATGATTGAACAGTTTCATTAAAACATTTCTTCACAACAGATTATAACAATACTGAGCTGAATCATTACATCAATACAGGCTTACTGGTTGATCTAGAATGAAAATGGAAATGACCCATCATCAGAAATTCTTTACCTTACCTATTGATCGGATGAACATATACTAGCCACATAAAGAAACTGTGCATTGTCAAAATATTATCCCAGTTGATAAGTACGATAACAATGTCAAAGGTACATATAAACTTTAATGGAGGGATCATGAGACCATAACAAGTCATAAGAATTTCAATTGAAAAGTCAATCACAATGACGTCACGAGTCCACAAACGGGACGGGTCAAACGACCATGTCACAAGCTCAATAACGGGTATGTCCACCATCGGCATTGAGAACAGCAGTGCATCGACGGCGCATAGAGCCTATCAAACGTGCAAGGAAGGCTTGTGGGATGTCACGCCAGATTCTCTCAAGTTCTGTTGCAAGGTCAAGGACGTTATCTGGCGGATGAGGAAGACGACGTAGACGACGATCCATCTCGTCCCAAACATGCTCTATCGGGGAGAGATCTGGTGAATTTGCAGGCCAAGACAGTAAGTCAATGTTGTGATGTTGCAAGAAATCCATAGCAACCCTTGCCGTATGAGGGCGGGCATTGTCCTGTTGGAATGTTACCCCAGGGCCAGGACGTTGCAGAAAAGGAATTGCCACAGGTCGAAGAATCTGATCCCTGTAGCCCACACCGGTTAAGATACCCTGAACAATCACCAAAGGAGTTCTTTAGCGTGCTGTTATTCCACCCCAAATCAGCACGGAACCACCACCAAAGCGATTCCTCTCCAAGACAGGCCTGTGCATAACGTTCTCCCACGCGTCTATAGGCACGTTGACGTTCATCACTATGGGAAATGTTACACCTAGATGCATCTGTAAAAACAACATTTCTCCACCAAAACAAGGGTCTGCGGACATGATTTCGGCACCACATTCGGTGAGCTTGTCGATAGGATAGGCCATATGGCGGGATGTCGTGGTCCGATCCCGTGATGACTTAAACGTTGTCGAACTGTGTTGGGGTGGATACGGCGAAGTCCTGGGATGGTTCGGGCAGTCATCACTGCAGTCTGAAACCTGTGGCGAAGATGGGTCACCCTTATCCATCTGTCCTGTCTTGGCGTTGTTACACTTGGACGTCCAGAACGTGGCCGATCGATGACGTCATTTGTGTTCTGGTAGCGTCTCTCCAGTGCAGAAATGGTGTTCCAGTGGCAGTGGAAATGTGCAGCCACTTGTCGTTGAGACATTCCCCCACGGACCATCCCAATGGCCTCATGACATTGTGCAGACGTGAGCCTTGGCATGCTATGCGTTTCAATAGCCGTTTAACTTTTTGAACGATCGCAAGGGCAGGGGTTGAGCTTTCCAAAGTGACAGTATTGTGTGGCATTCATTTACTCTGTTTCTCTTTCCCGGAATGCACGTGCAACACCGTATTGCACGTCTCAAGGACGAACCCACTGACGTCACGGGACGTGGCCCGTGCATGCATGTTGGATACATATCACTAATCTCTGAGTTTAAATCCTTATGTGTCTACACAGGTTTGATAAATTTAGATTTTAAATTTTTGTATGCACAGTTTCTTTATGTGCCTAGTATATATTCAATAAATTTGGGAATTGATTTTCGGTGAAAAACATGCTGTCAGATTCTTTCTAAGAGTGAATCCGCTGGGTTGAAACCACTCATTCCAACTCAAGTCAGGGAGCAAGAATGGGCTTCATAAACAGTGTCTATGACTGTATGACAGCAATCGAAGGCAGACTCTTGGTGCAAAACAAAACGACTTCAACCATAATGCTGTACTACTACTACTACTACCACCACCACTGTTATGATCATGTGCACTGTTATCAAACTGTCATAAAAACGAACGAAATATTTTTAATTTTTACATGATCAATCAGCCCCTAAAAACAACCTTTTGAACAGAAATAAGCCCTCACAGAATCAAATCAACCAAGGGAACACTTTCAGAATACACCACAACTTCTCATGAGGATGATCTCTGCCATACGTCACAAAGACAAGCAGCAAGTTTTGTGAAAACCTGTCAGGCACAAACCTGCTACCTCAGAATTGTCAGCCCAACAGCTAACAGACTGAGCTACATCCACACTGTTACGTTCTGTAAATTGTTCTGGTTATGCCTGAGACATTATAGAAATGAACATAAAGAGTCAAATAGGTCTATTACAACGGTTACCGGCAAATAAGGTTCTTGTTGATTTATAAACACGTTATAAATGTTATGTTGCCATTTGGCACACTCGTTCCATTCCGTAATCTACAAGATTCAGAGTAATGAGCCGATATGGTGCAAACTGTACAATTACAAAACTGATGGCTAAATTTGTGGATGGCCTTGATTCATGGATCACAGTTATCAGTGTGATGTCAATAAACATAAGTCATGTTATATAAGGTGTTGCCCTCCGCCAAAACAAATATTTATTTAAACATTTTTCATTTTCACAGGGTGTGCACAGAGATACAACACATATTCGCTTACAGCTTTGACTAATGGTTACTTAGAAGCATAAAAACAATCAAGCTTCAATTCATAAAGAAGCACTGAATTTCATTGTAACTAACCAAACACTTAGAAACTGGATTAAAGGCAAGAATGTCAGGTGTGACTCAAGGTATGAAGCAAGAAACAACACTCATAGTTCATAGATCATAGAATACACAAGGCATCCATCCGATATGGACAGATAAAGACATCATCCAATTAAAATTGGATTTTGCTTGTAAACTGAGAAAACTGGACCTAGCCCATCTTTTACCTGTGAAATGGTTATATGGGGTAGAAGTTAGTAGTGCAATATCTCTCATTGCACTTCATGCCAAAGCCAGTTCAGAGGAATATATCAACAAGTATTTTGATAAAGTTGCATGATTAAGGACAAATATGATTTCAAATCAATACCTGAAGCTATATATAACATTGATGAAAAAGGAACCAGCCACAAATGTTGACCCAAAAAATATTTGTTCAAAGAACTGTGGTTTACAAGATTTCATTGAAACATTCATTAGTGTTCAAACATTGTGGAAATGCCCATTTATTCCACCTTATTTTGCTGCTGGAATGTTCAGTGAACTGCATGATGGCTGTACAGCAAGAAGTGAAGGGATTGTTTCTCAATCAGGGTGGTAAGTGGTGTTATATTCAAAGATGACTTGGATAGTCATTTCCTTCGATATGCAACTCTTGTCGTGAAAGGCGACTAACGAAAATTGGTGGGTCAGATTCGCCAACTTGGTTGACACATGTCATCTTATCCCAACTGCCTAGATATATGCTCATGTTGTTGATCACTGGACTGTCTGGTCCAGATACGATCATTTACAGGCCACCGCCATATAGCTGGAATGTTGCTGAGAGCAGTGTAAAACCAACCAACCAACCAACACCAGACCATCCTCTGCCTCTTCTGAACGATTGCCACAAATTGCCCAAAATTCACATTTCTGTCAAAGACCACTGTCAACTTATATTTCATTGCCTCCATAGCTGCAGAGAATATTCTGCTGTATTAAAGCCTGGTCACCTTAAGTTGGTATTCAGAAAATATGGAATCTCTCCCGTTTCCCCAGATGATTGATAAAAATGCATTCCTACCAGCTGCTTTCATCCACAGATCATACAAAAAAGACAAGTCACAAATACTAGCTACTGACGACATGCCCATGCTACTGACGAAACCCTGTTTCTTTGCTGACAAGTTTCCCATCGTCCAAATGATAGAAGAAAACCATGCAAGTTGATGAACAAAATTGGGAATGGCAAAGCCATAACTGAACCAGTTTTGGTGTCGTTTAACGCCGCACTCTGCAATATTCCAGCATGTGTGCCGGCGGTCTGTTAATAATTATCTGGACCAGACAATCCAGTGATCAACTGAATGAACATCAATCTACGAAGTCCATAACTGAACAGATGATCAAGTTAAATGCCATGATAACAGTTACACTTCTAAAACAAAATGAGTACCAACCAAGAAAGGATGACCAAAGTGTCATACATTAGCTATACCTTCTCAAAATATAGCTAAACATACCACCTTGCCAGTAGTGGTGTTCCGATTAACTGAAATAATCGAAGATTGGTTGTAGTGACCAATCAACAAAGCAATCGATCACATTTTCTCATAATCAAACACAAACGATACTGATTTAGTGTTTGAAAAACTTGACAATGGAACATATCTCAGAAGTTGTCAGGTCCTGACAATGTGTCTAATTCATAGAAAACTCACTTCACTTACTGAAATGTCATGACTCATTTCTTGAAGACTCCAGGAAGTTTATGTGCATGACATTTTAGTCATATTAGTCATCACTTAGCAACTTGCATCATTTTACATTGAACGTGAAATTTGCAAATGCAATTTGTGCAGTTTCTAAATAAAACAAAATACAACAGAGATCCATGTTATACTTATCTGCAATAACAATCTGAACAGGAAAATCTGAAAAAGGATGCTAACCAATTTTTTTCTTAATGATTGCTAGTTGGTAAAGAAACAATTATTAATTTTGAGATTTCAACCTGTTATACAGTAGTGACAGTGACGAAGATTTGCCAATATGTAATGACAAGAAGTGCTGCGTTTGTAATCACTTTCAGTCCAATCATACCCACGAAGATCCGGGTTCGAATTGGTTTTCAGCAACCCATGCTTGTCATATGAAGCGACTAACTGGATCAAGTGGTCAGGCATGCTGGCTTGGTTGACACATGCCACTGTATCCCAATTGCATGGATCGATGCTTATGCTGTTGATCACTGGATTGTCTGGTCCCGACTCGATTATTTATTGACCACTGCCATATCACTGGAATATTGCTGAGTGTGGCATTAAACACCAACCAACCAAATCAGTCCAATCGCTTTCTTAATTACCAGTAGTTATAGCTGTACAGACTTTACTAACAAGTCACGTTTAGAAATCAAGAGTTATAGAGACAGTGTGATGAGTAACTATTCTTTACAACTGTTATCTACCACCACTGAAATGTCTGTTGGAAAGTGCAGATTCTAATACACGAAGAAACTATTGCCCACTAATGCTGAAGGGGTCGTTGTCGGCACGGGTACTACAGATATATCTACCGCAGGTACATTTGATTGTGTTATGGAAGTAATGAGAATACACAGTAACGGATATTTTGCGATGCATATGAATACCACTCGCAATCAGTTGAACAGGAACAACTACATACGGTTTCAGGCTTGGATTGCGGAATATGGACTCGTCCGCCTTTTAGGGTACCGAGTATGTTTCTGAATTTTGACTTTGTTTAGGGTACATATCTGTATACAGAAACGTACCTGGGGTACGTATCTGTAGTACCTGTGCCAACAACGACCCCTTCAGCCCCACTAACAGTACTGGGCTGTTGTAGATAGCAATACATTAACCTACCATGTAATCCATAAATCAAGGTGACCAAACTGGGTATACTATGTGGAATATTTAGCACTTTCTTTGTAAATGATCAGTGTGTAAACAAAATGATATGAATCTAAACCACAAACTTTGGTTCAGTTTCCATGAATACTGGTTAAGCGAGGGTTACTCCCTGATTCTTTCAATATGATTCATCTCAACATATCAAACCGATCATTGTTCATGATATACAAATTACAGGCCCACAATCAACACCTGACAACAACATTCAAAACTTGGAAAAAGACATACACCATGTAGTGTTAGAAATTTGGACCTTTTGGTTTTAATAGATTGAATATGACATTGTAAGTATCATTCGGTCTGCAATTTTAACATGAAGATTTTAAGAGGAAGAGTTTTACTTGTCAAAGCACAATACAGTATCTTTTATATTGTGTTGCCATTTTTATCTTATCGTCACACACGTTTCCTGTTGCTGTACTTCAATGGAATCATGGCAATGCCCAATTTCAATCACAGTTACCACCTTCCGTTTTTGCTAGCGATATGCGATTTAATCCAGAACACTTTTTTTTATAAATAACAAAAAAAATGTTCATATGTGTCAAGTAACTATGAATGCGGGTGAAAGATGAGATAGCAAATTGGTGCACGTGGTCAGTTCAGCGTTAGGCTAGTGCCTATCCGCAAAGCAAATCTTCTAAAAATAGCCACACGTGGAAGTTGTAGGAAGTAAAAGAGGTAATAAACTACAAAAGCACAAATCAAAATGACCCACATAGATTCTACTTGACACGATAAATTCGTTGTCATAATGGATAGGAAAAACCAAATCAACGGTGACTGAGCGTAAAATTATGGCGGAAAAATGCCATCGAATGCGACATTTTTGTCAAACACAAAATGACTCAAATCAGTGTAAATTGTTGCAAATATATTATATGATAACAAATGATCTAACTGTTATCGCGAATTCGTTAGCGTTAAAAGGTTTGAGGCCGATGAACATCTGGTAGTTTCTATTACGAACCTGCAGTCAGACGGCAGCCATGTTTTGTAGTTAGTTGCCCGGATGAAAATTTCGCGGAGGTCGCTTACATCAACTCAAAATGAATAATTTTGTTGAGAATGATATAAGTGGCCTAAGAGGGACGACTTGGCAAGAGTCGCATTATGTCACCTGGTTAACGATATTTTGGGACCAATATTTACTCGATTAGTTGTAAGTGTAACAGATTTTCTTCTACAATTTCATTTTCAACCCAGGGTTTTTCTCGCCAAAAATGACATCATCAACTATCGTTTCAGTTTTCGCACATTTGTCAGAACCGCAGTAAGTTTGTAGATCAATGCATTTGAAATAACCTAAATGACTGAGAAGTTGGTTTACTCGGTAAGAGTTCCGCCCGTAAGCCCCGCTTGAAATGTATTCTATTTATTAGGATTTTTTCGAGGGTTTAGGGTTAGGTTTGGGGTTAGGGTTAGGGTTAGGGTTTAGGTTTAGGTTTAGGTTTATATTTAGGTATAGGCTGTTCATAAAAAAAAACATAGGCGTATATTTTTAGGCATATAATGATTAAAAAAATACGGGGGTTACTGGCGGAAATCTGTCCGCCATTGCTAAAAAAAATCTGAAATTGTACTTAGGTACATAGGTATATCTATGTTTTTTTTATAAACAACCTATACCTAACAATAAACCCTAACCCTAAACCTAACCCTAAAATCTACCCCCAAACCTAACCCTAAACCCTCGAAATAATCCTAATAAATAGAATGCATATCAAGCGGGGGTTACGGGCGGAACTCTAGCCGTGTTGTTATCTGTTCTAAATGAAGCTAGTCTAGATTTCCTCTGGTTCTGAATCTCCCATCTCACCAAGGCTAATATATTTAAATGGCACTGTTTATTACATATTTGCAGAGACTAAGTGTTTGTCTAGGGCATGTATTCGTCTAAAAGAAACGAGCATGGTTAAGTTGTTTCATGTCAAATGTTTTGACTGCAGGAGATTGTCATGGAATTTCAACCTAAGCCACTTCCTTCAGTAATAATTTGAAAGCCAAAACACCTGCATCAATACCTATCAGTGTTTGCCCTTAACCCTGAAAATGCAGGCCCTAAGGACCCGGAACCATAAAACGTTGTGGGTCCTGATCAGAATGTGTAGGGGAGACGGTGTTTTCGTAGGCTGAACCAGTTCGTAGACGCAGTGGATTCATAGCCCAGATGGTGATTTCGTAGACGTGTATAAATAATTGAATAATAGTATTGTGTAGTTGAATGTTGATAATTGATGGTTTTTTCATCACTGATCATACTTACCTAGTATATTTTTTTTATTTCACAAAACTCAAACACTTTTAGTTTACACTAAAGTCATAATATCGATTTTCATCATCAATGATGTTGAAGTTGAAGTTTTTACTAACGTCTACGAATCCACTGCTCAATCCGCCTACGAATCCACCAGATTTCCACATCTACGATCCAGTCTGGTCTACAAATTCACCTACAGCCATGTGTAGGCCCTGTATTTTAGCTACAAGATAAGTAAGTCCCAGCAAACCAAAAAATTGCTAAATTTGTTCCTAGAAAATGATAGTCGTTTTCCTACAGACAACAGAAGCTGATTGAGATAAAAACTAGAAATTACTGAATGATATTTTCTGAAAAATAATACTCTTAGTTACTGTGGATGAAAAAGCTATTGGCCATAAGGATCTACAGAAAACAAAAGCTGTGAGTCCGAGTGGTTTTCAGTCGGCTTCGGGCCTAAGGACTGGCGTTATACCTATGTGTGTGTGCTCCTCATTATGATCATCACAGTGTTCCATCTTACAATCTTCTTTGACAAAAAGGGGCGGTGGGGTAGCCTAATGGTTAAAGCGTTGTCTCGTCACGCCGAAGACCCGGGTTCGATTCCCCACATGGGCACAATGTGTTAAGCCCATTTCTGGTGTCCCCCGCCGTGATATTGCTGGAATATTGCTAAAAGCGGCGTAAAACTAAACTCAGTCAGTCAGTCTTTGACAAAAACAATGAAGGAAAAAGCCCTGTTATTCATGCATACTGGTACTAATTAATTCAACATCTGACACCTGGAGCACTTCACACCACATTAGCTCCTTAGTCACCTCTAATTTGTAAATTATTGAATGGACGATTGTGCCTAATAGCATCAAGATCGCCATAAGTGAGCATAGGCTACAGTCACAAGACACCATGCCTACCTGGAACCTTCGTAAGTGCTCCCTATTTGACATTTTCTATTCAGTTCCATCTGATCTTGCATGCCACATTTTCCATGCATGCTATTAGTGTCAATGAATAACAATTAATAGACAGTTGTTTGTATGCTAGTATTGTTTGAAGTTAAGGTGGGCAGAGGGGAAGTCTTTAGTATTTAGGGCCAGTGGGGTAGCCTACTTGTTAAAGCATTCGCTCGTCATGCCGAAGACCCAGGTTCAATTCCCCACATGGAATTTTTTACAAGGGGTGACCACTTGCTGGTAGAACAGCCAGGTAATCAACAAGCATGTGTAGTGAAATTTCAATTTCACACGTGCAACTCGCACACCTGGCTGTTCTACTAGCAAATGGTCGCCCCTCGTAAGAAATAGTGAAAAGTGACAACAAAATAATGATCGTTTGTTTATAAACTTTGTTATTCGGGTGTCCAAAATTATGAGACAAATCATCAGAGTTGGTTTATCAATTTCATGTGACTCTGCAAAATTTGGTTTTGTTGCATTTATTAGATTTTCTGTTAGCGAGCAATTCATAGGTCTCAAATGAAATCAAGCAGGCTGTAGTTGATTTTGTGTCTCTTCTTTTAAACCTAGTCAACATAAATCAGTTATCTGCCATATCAATGGAATATTGCTGAGTGCAGGGTTAAACAATAAACAAACAAAATCTAGCATTATTTAAGACAATAAGCATGTTTACCTGTAAATGGTGATGGTTTAGTTCAGGTGTATCCAGATGAAAATTGTATAATGGAGACAAGAAGCTCAGAATCATTTCCTTACTCAAAAAATCAAAATAACGTGATTCTTGGGAACAAATAATATCTTGGAAAATTCCAAACTGGAGCTCTTCCTAGAAGCAAATCCTATGGCATCCACTGTAGAGATATGAATTATATGCATGTTTCAGTGTGACAGAGTTTTTACAGTTTGGCGTTGCCAAAGAAACATTTCCATATTTAACACAGCTTGTATATATGTGTTAGCGCCAAGTGTGAAATACAGTTGTTCCAATAAATGCCAGTCATTTGTAATCACTGAGGATTTGTTCATTCCAATTGTGTATTAGTAGTTGTCTTGGGAGGCAATATATTTTTAATCCATTTGGCCAATTTTATTTTAAACCGGTGAGTTGACCGATCTTGTGCTTCACACGCTGTTTTAGGTGACTTCTAATTTATGTCTGCATAAATGTATCTTGACTAGCTCTGAGACCGATTTGAAGTTTCATGTCTACAGCAAGTCTCAGTAGAAATTTGAAACTGGAATTAAAATTTTCAAATTCATGCTGTTTAAGATTTCATCAATAGCCAAAGCGATGCCTTTGTAGTGGTGATAAATATTTTACTGATACTCGAAATATTCCCACGAAGTATCAGCCCTGGTATATAATGTTTGTGTGGGTACGAGCCTCAAGTTCAGAGTTAATTTACACGAGTACATACTGTATGTATATCCGGCAATGGTGTCATTCTAACAGAGCTCGGAGTCAGTATACTGTGTCTGAGTGGGGTATTCATGCTTCACTTCGGCATGGTATCTCAGTGGGCTAGCACTATAAAACCAGCTTCAGTCTGGGCTAGTACAAGCAGCCGTACATACACATACATACGCAGGCACGTCGTCATATGAGTGAAATATTCTCAAGTACGACGTTAAACCCAATTTCACCTCACCTCACCTGAAGACCAATTCTTACCCAGATCTTCACGGGCGTGTATTTTTGTAAAAAGAAATTTTGTATTCCTGTAAAATGTCTGTAACATATATGAGGGATGCTGATACATCTAAGGTGATACAGAATCTGTGTAGGGTTTCACTCCATCGACATGCCTGAGTCTTGGGACTGTTCAAAGTACACCCTAATAATGACTGTATGTTTGTCAGCACCATAGCTGAGCTCTGAGTTTCACCAAATTGGTAAATGTTGGCAGTCTGTAAATCGTGTCTGGACCAGATCCAGTGATCAACAGCATGAGCATCAATCTCATCAATCTGGGATACGATGACATGTGTCAACCAAATCAGCAAGCCTGACCACCCGATCTCGTTAGTCGTGTCTCATGACAAGTATGGGTTGCGGAAGACCAATTCTAACCCGGATCTTCATGGGTCGGTAAATGTCTAAGACTTGCATCACGTTTTTGTGTGTTGATTTACAAAGTGTCTCGGAAAGAGCTCAGTGTAGCTAGTAGGAGAAAATATATTGTAAATAATGACGATACAGTTTCACTATTTATGAATTAAAACAAGGTACCTTTGACCTTGACCTTGACTTGGTTGTCAGTGGTTTGACACTGTTTTGTCTTGACCTACAGAACTACAAGTCAAAGAGACTCGCACTTACTGACTTAATGGGTTCTTGCAGGGAATATGAGGTGACAGAGCTGCAGATAAGGGCTGTATCGGCGTATGTACGGATAAATAATATGCATGAAACGGTAGGAAATAATTTAGAAAACCTAGCAGATATGCACCACAGCAATGGTATACGGTCTTAGAATCATTTACAGACGCATTTATCTGAAAAAATATTGATTTATTGTTTATTGACATGTTTACACAAAAATAGCAATGTTGTGGTGCATATATGAAACGAAACGCAAGATTACTAATACTCCATTAAATTCCATTCAGTACTCTAAATGTACTCTTAAGGTTACCCAGTACTCCTAAATTGAAAAAATAAGGAGTACGTACTCCTGATGTGAAAAATTATCTGCAGCCGTGGGTGATATTGAGTAATGTACAGCATTGTAACAGAGCTACAGATAACTGGGTCACTGAGTTATGTCCTCGCTTGTGTTCATCTCAATTGGGTATCCTAATTTTCCTTTAAGTAACCAAATAAATTGTACCCACCTCACTCAAACTCAATTGGGTATTTTGCCATTTTCCATTAATTGTAAAAATATAATAAAGTTTAAATGTTGGTTGATGTGTTTGCTATTTATATTTGATCTATAATATGAGAAACGATAAGAAAGACTGCAAGTTGCCAAGTTAATGTACCTCTCAATGTACCTCATGTATTTTATCTATGTTTGTGTGTACGCATGTAAGATCAAATGTATTGAGTATTTACAAAAATTGTACGCAATAGACATTATAGGAATTGAGTTTTCACATAAATATTTGCGTAGTTTACACAGATACGCAGCTTATCTGTACCTCTGTTGTAAGTTTGAATAATGATTCTTATAACAGGAACTTTATGTTTGGTATCAGTAAGTTTATACAATGAATATTATTGTGCATCCTTTTGGCTGCAATACATATTTTTTCTGCAACAATACATTTGTGTATACTGGAGGCATATTTCTGTGTCACGTAAAAACTTATATACCGTGATCTTTGTATACACCAACACCAATCGCTGACTCGGCTGATGCATGTTGTCATATCCAAATTAGGTAGATGATGTCATTCACTGGATTGCCTTGTCAGAGTTGATCAATGTTTCACATCCATCATGTAGCTGGAATGGGTCTAGGACAATTTCTACCTGGACAATTGCCACCTAGGACAATTGGCATCCAGACCATTGCCGCCCAAGACGATTGCCACTCAGGACAATTGTCCAAGTTTTGCAAGGAGTTCTGTGACTGCCTAATACAATAGGCCGGTCAGTGGCGTGTTCGGGCAAGGAGTTACTAGAGGCTCAAAACTTTGGTTTCCTTTCCAGGGTGGAAGTTGGGTGAGGGTGGGGAGATATGTGATTATTTTTGTAAAATTTTCAGTAACATTTTTCAGCAGTCCAAGTAAACTTAGGCTCAGTAGGATTCGTTACACTGCTAACGAATAATACTGACCATAAGTTTACCATAGCAGTGTACCGAATAATACTGAGCCTAAGTTTACCATAGCAGTGTAACGAATAATACTGAGCCTAAGTTTACTTAGACTGCATTTTTTAGATGTTTATTTTGGATTCTCTCTTTTCACAGGTAACATGTGTTTGTGACACGATGGAAGTGAGAGCATGAGCGTGAGCTACATCACAACAGTGTGTCCCAACATGGAGGAGTCTCCATCTCCCAAGTTTCTGGAGTCCTTTGTTCCAGGGCTTGGTTCACCAGACCTGCCGTCAACCATGATACACGACATTGACCTCCATCTTGAATGTGACGATGATGGCAACTTCTGTCTTCCGGCCGTTGCCGATAGCAGCAATGTCCCGTCGCATTCAGTCATTGGTCAGAATGTAAATCTCAGTGTGACATTTCCAGTGCCGAAACAAACAGAAAAAACATCATTAGTTTTCAGTTGTTCACAATGTGACCAAATTTTCAGCAAACACAGTAAGCTAGCTGAGCATTTACTTCAAGTCCATGAGATTGTTAAGAATTTTCAGTGTACAGTTTGTTCATTTGCAACAACGTCCACAAGATTATTGAGACGCCATTTGGTCAGGATGCATGAAGCAAAAAAATAGGGAGAAGTTTCCTGAATCAAGATTCTTCAAACCCCAGGAGCAGTTAAGCAGTGATAAAATGCATGTTCCTGTTTCAACTGACAACCCCACAGGAAATATAATATGTCAACCGGAGAGTTCGGAAGTTGATGAAAAGTCTGCATGTGATACAAATTTACGACTTTTAAACGAACCGAAAAGAAGAACTGGTTTGAGTGTATCAAAGTTAACGTCTGATGATGAGGACAGGAAGGAGCATCGATCTGTTTTCATGTGTCCTGAATGTCCGTACAAGGGTATTTCACAAAAACATTTGAAGATGCACTTTGCAAATATTCACGACCGATCACGAGAGATTTTTAACTGTGATGTCTGTGACTTCTCATGTAAACAGAAGCGAACATTTATCATCCATGAAAGAATGCATAGAGGAGAAAAGCCATTTATATGTGATTTCTGTCAAAAAGTCTTTTTCTTCCATGACAACACTGAAACGACACGCTTTGATCCATGGAACCGAAAGACAGCATAACTGTCCCTTTGAAAACTGTTGTCAGGCGTTTAAATATAAGGACATATTGAAGTCTCACATTTCTAAAGTTCACAAGAAAGGTAAAGGAAGTGATCTGAGCAATGTATCAGAAGAACAAGTATCAGCATCCAAAACAGATGGTAGCTGCAAGAAGAGGACTCTATTTGCATGTAGTTGGAAAGGATGTGGAAAGTCATTCCGAGATAACTACAATCTGAAGTGTCATTTCTGTTTACATACAGGGGAGAAACCGTTAAAGTGTCCACATTGTGAATTCAGGTGTGTTCAGCAAGCATCCTTGAACTGTCATGTCAAGAATATGCATTTTGAATTTAAAAAATCATGATTTCAGTATACTTTGGGCTGATCAGAACTATTCTTATTGCACGGGGTATAGTGGATAAGGAAATATGATGAATAAACCTGAAAATCATAGTCTTCAGAAGATGTTTGTTTTCTTTGAGTATTTTACTTGAACATGCATGTTCTGATTGTTTATCATGCCACATGTTGGTGTGCAGAGTTGTGTCCCTTGAATGCTTGAATCTAATGATTGTGGACAAGTTTAAGCCCCAGGTTTCTCGTTTATTATTTTGATATGCAATGCAGGGGCGGATGCAGCTTTTTGAGAAAGGTGTGTTTGTGTGTGCTTGCGTGTGTGTGTGATGGTGTGTGTGTGTATGCGTGCGGAGAGTTCATTTCCACAAGTGTTTCAATAGTCGTTTAATAAACTTTCGGTACAGGGGGCTTCACACATTGCTCCCATCATGTCTGTAATCGAACCCAGATCTTCAGCATGATGAGCAGAAGTTTTAACTATTAGGCTACCCCACTGTCCCGCTTGTCATAAGAGGCCGCCACCATATAGCTGAAATATTGCTGACTGCAGGATTAAACAACAAACAAAAGAAAAACAGACACCCTAGTTGAAAATGTGTAACTTGAAGAATCGTCCATGGAAGCTGTCTACATTGCAACTTGTTTCTTTTAGAGAGGCTCATTAGCATGTTTTTCCTTAAAGATGTTTTATTTGTTTTACTCACTTTTCCATTCACTTCTTAGATGCCGGTATGATGAAGAGGAACAGTTTTTATGGAATAGATGGACGTTTCAGTGTAGATGCTAACACTGTTATCAAGCAAGTGATACAAAACTTTGTGGACAAGGGGAATATATACATGAAGGATATTAGACTTTATAAATTAATGAGGTTGATGTACATTGTGATGACATTACTAATAGTTGTCATGATAATAGTTTCATAATAATTTTTATCATAAACATTGACATACATCGGGTTACAAAGCCATGCATTAACACATCAGCGAGCCTGACCACCCAAGTCCATTTCATCTCTTAGAACAAGCATGGGTTGCTGAAGATCACTTCTAACCCGAATTTCATACAGTATTTTTTACTTTCAAGTTCACAACATTGATTGATTGTTGTTTAACTCTACACTCAGCAATATTCCAGCTGTATGGCGGTGGTCTACAAAAATATTTGAATCAGGACCAGACAATCAAGTGATCAACAGCATCAGCATCAATCTACACAATTGGGATACGATGACGTGCCAACTAAGTCGGCGAACCTGATCAACCCATCCCATTAGTTGCCTCTTACGATAAGCGTGGGTTGCTGAAGACCAAGTTTACCCCCAGATCTTCACGGGTCAAGTTCACAACAAGGAAGGCAAAACCAATATGATTTCAAGTTGCACAACCACAAAATGTTGACATAGTAAGGAATATTAAGTACGAAACACATCGAGACAACACATCAAAGTTTGACTTTCTTCATTCCAACACTTCCATTCTTCGTATTCATAGCAATAAAAGTGTTGTTGAAATGAATTGTCTCACGATGATGAAGTCTGGAAGCTTTACTCTTCAAGTTGTTTCTTACATAGCAACATTGACCTGACATAGAGAAAACCTGGGAAGTCAATATGTCTGACTATCAACAAACATTAGCATGTCATTTTTGCAGTTTGTCATATTAACTTACAGACACTTTTGTTGGCCATCTATCTAATCGTTTTCTTTAATTCCTAAGACTATTGTAAAAAGTACCGTTACAATGTGGGATAGTCAAACCCATATTCTCAGATTTACTGAAGAACACACGCTTTCATGTAACTGAAAAACACTCTTTTCGTTGGTGGATGGACACTTTGCCTCATGTTGCTGGAGGATACAGACAAGGTTGCTGATAGGGGCACACTTGGTTGCTGATAGGGGCACACTTGGTTGGTGGATGATACACACATGGTTGCTGATAGGAGCATACTTGGTTGCTGATAGGGGCACACATGGTTGCTGATAGGGGCACACTTTGCCTCATGTTGCTGGAGGATACAAACATGGTTGCTGATATGGGCACACTTGGTTGGTGGATTGACACTGCCTGATGTTGCTGGAGGATACACACTTGGTTGCTGATAGGGGCACACTTGGTTGGTGGATGGACACTTTGCCTCATGTTGCTGGAGGATACACACTTGTTTGGTGATAGGGGCACACTTGGTTAGTGGATGGACACTTGGCCTGATGTTGCTAGAGGATACACACATGGTTGCTGATAGGGCCACACTTGGTTGGTGGATTGGCACTTTGCCTCATGTTGCTGGCGGATACACACTTGGTTGCTGATAGGGGCACACTTGGTTAGTGGATGGACACATTGCCTCCTGTTGCTAGAGGATACACACATGGTTGCTGATAGGGCCACACTTGGTTGGTGGATGGACACATTGCCTCCTGTTGCTAGAGGATACACACTTGGTTGGTGGATGGACACTTTGCCTCATGTTGCTGGTGGATACACACTTGGTTGCTGATAGGGGCACACTTGGTAGGTGGATGGACACATTGCCTCCTGTTGCTAGAGGATACAAACTTGGTTGGTGGATGGACACTTTGCCTCATGTTGCTGGCGGATACACACTTGGTTGCTGATAGGGGCACACTTGGTAGGTGGATGGACACATTGCCTCCTGTTGCTAGAGGATACACACTTGGTAGGTGGATGGACACATTGCCTCCTGTTCCTAGAGGATACACACTTGGTTGGTGGATGGACACTTGGCCTCATGTTGCTGGAGGATACACACATGGTTGCTGATAGGGCCACACTTGGTAGGTGGATGGACACATTGCCTCCTGTTGCTAGAGGATACAAACTTGGTAGGTGGATGGACACTTTGCCTCATGTTGCTGACGGTTACACACTTGGTTGCTGATAGGGACACACTTGGTAGGTGGATGGACACATTGCCTCCTGTTGCTAGAGGATACACACTTGGTTGGTGGATGGACACTTTGCCTCATGTTGCTGGTGGATACACACTTGGTTGCTGATAGGGCCACACTTGGTAGGTGGATGGACACATTGCCTCCTGTTGCTAGAGGATACACACTTGGTTGGTGGATGGACACTTTGCCTCATGTTGCTGGCGGATACACACTTGGTTGCTGATAGGGGCACACTTGGTAGGTGGATGGACACATTGCCTCCTGTTGCTAGAGGATACACACTTGGTTGGTGGATGGACACTTTGACACATGTTGCTGGCGGATACACACTTGGTTGCTGATAGGGGCACACTTGGTAGGTGGATGGACACATTGCCTCCTGTTGCTAGAGGATACACACTTGGTTGGTGGATGGACACTTTGCCTCATGTTGCTGGCGGATACACACTTGGTTGCTGATAGGGGCACACTTGGTAGGTGGATGGACACATTGCTTCCTGTTGCTAGAGGATACACACTTGGTAGGTGGATGGACACATTGCCTCCTGTTGCTAGAGGATACACACTTGGTTGGTGGATGGACACTTTGCCTCATGTTGCTGGCGGATACACACTTGGTTGCTGATAGGGCCACATTTGGTAGGTGGATGGACACATTGCCTCCTGTTGCTAGAGGATACACACTTGGTAGGTGGATGGACACATTGCCTCCTGTTGCTAGAGGATACACACTTGGTAGCTGGATGGACACTTGGCCTCATGTTGCTGGAGGATACACAGAAACGCTAGAAAAGTTTGGCGGTCTGGTACGGACTTCATATAATATCAATCACATTGTGCGTTACAGAACTACACTGAATAAGCACAAAAAACACATAACAGGTGTAACCAGCGTATCAGATGCATTGTGAATCATTTTACGACCTCATCAAATAGGGGCAGTCTGTGACCTTTTAGATAAGGTTATGCTGCCTACACCTCGCCATAAAATATAGAAATACGATGTTATTAAGGTTTAAAATTAAAATTCATAGGTAAATACCATTTTCTTATGCAACAAGAAACTGGAATTCAGTGTAACCATAGTTGTTTATGATGTCTATTTTCACTTTCACACGAGAAAATTCGGATCTACTGAAAAGTAGGTCATTACCTGAATGCCTAACTCATGTTTCGGTTTGCGAACGCTTTAACCACTACGCTACCCCACCGCCCCTCTCATAAGAAAGAGCTGTCCCGACCATGTTGTGATGCGAAAGTCGAGTGTTTTAAGTGAACTCTTTAGTTAGAATGATTCGTTACAAGAGCGAAGACTAAGCTTGACTAGCAATAAGAGTTTGACAATTACTTGAAGTAGAGGGGCGACTAGGAAGAATTGTACTACAGGCTAGACACATTCATGGCGCATGGATTCTAAGTTTCAATAAATCATGGTTTTGTTTAATTTTTTTAAAACAAATTTCACATTCAAAATGACGATTTCAGGAGCCTGGTTGGTTTAGCCAGTTTGTTGTTTAACGTCGCACTCAGCAATTTTTCAGGGGTTGGGGGGTGGGGGTTGTCACTCAGTCACTCACATTGTACATGCTCCTCCATAAAAATGAACACCCTAGCCATAAATTATGAACTTCGTAATGAAGAACGTATCATCTCTTTGGGTTCAAAGCTTTCGACATCTGTTCATAATCGGACCAGGGCACAAGCTGTTTGAAGCTGAACTAGAAAGGTTTTTGAAAATTCTTGGGTCACCACTTCCAGCAACAATCAAAACTGTGGAAGTATTTCTTGTTTTAGCGCAATTTTAGAAATTGAGACGTACAATATAGAAGGAGTTTTATGGATAGCAACTTCTATATTTCATGAGTGCGACGTTTCGATACAGATTCATGTACCGATGTCACGCTCCTGCTTGACAACGGTACAAGAATCTGTATCGAAACGTCGCACTCACGAAATAAAGAAGCTGTTATTCATAACGTTTGTTCTATATTGTGGAAGCATTTGTCATCACCACCACCACCATCATCATCACCATCAAAGACCAAAGTTTCATCATGGAAAAGGTTCGCCCTCCATGTTCTGGGAGGCTTTTCCCCAGCACCTTCGAGGAATACAGCATACAAATAAGACTACGTTGGAAGCTGGGACATCACAAACTGAATAATGGCCATGAATACA